AGCTAGGAAGTCAGTTCTTGGAGAAGAAAGGCGTCAAAACACGAAGGGGTGGGGACAGACCAAGTCTGCAAACTTCTCCACTGTCATTGGAACTTGTTTCCATCAAAATGTAATGTAACTGACTTATGAGAACTTCGGGACATGAAAATAATTGCTCTGAACCATTTATCAGGCTACAGTTATAGAATGTACTAGAACACAGCTGTGTGAGTGATAAAAGAGACTGAGTTCGAGAACTCTGTGTGAAAATAAATTAATGATATGAAAAATGTTAACAAGAGTTAGAATTTCCCAAGGAAATTCTGTTTTTATCATGGAATGCAAGCTCGTAGGAGTGCAAGACACAAATGAGTGAAACTGACAGAAAACCTCCGTGTATATACTCTAGTGATTTAAAGTTTCCAAAGGAAATGTGTGATTTTGGTTTTTAAACCAAAAACTAAGACGGGCCTTGAGTTTTAAGCCATTTGACCTTCCTGTATACAAACCCACCAAATCGCTAAGTTCTGTGGGCTTAACCTTTACAAGAATCCCTTGGATGGAAAACAATATAAATGTATTTTATTCTGGAAAATGCTACAGTAGATGTCTTTGTTATCATGCTTGTTACTAAAGTAGAACTTATAAAAGTTCTCACCCTTGTCTAGAAAGACATGCAATTTTCTCTGCAAGGAGACATCCATCAAAAACACAGACATTCCTCCCCTGAAACTGACAAGGAGCAATTTAAAATCCCGCCCAAGGCCACCTCATTCACATCTTTCAAGAGGGACTACAATGAGGTTTATGGAAATGTGAGGCAGTCACGCAGTGTTTTGGAAGCCAATTAAGTAGCTGTCACATGTGGAAAAGTCACGGCCCACATCACGAAGCCACGGGCTGTTAAGGCTGGGAGGGGCAGGACAGCTCTCTAGTACACACCCTGCTGCCCAGGGGAGGGCTCTGAGGCCCCAAGAGACCCAAGGGGTAATCCCCAGTGTCCTACCCTCAGACTTGAAGTCTTTCCAGGATGTTCCTGAACCTGCAAAAGGTCTAAGCACAGCAACGGTCATATCCGTGTCTATGGCTCAACGTGCTCATTTCTGGCCCTACCTGAAATTCACAAGAAAATCTGAACCACGCAAGATACTCATTTTCTAACAGGTTTAAGTGTTGTGTAGGGGGAAGACTCGGGGAGACTCCTCGCTAATTCTGTTCCCCCTTCTCTTGGATATGACAGGTCTCCTGACATACACGCTGCAGGCGGCCTGGCCATCCGCTTAGGCTCCCAACTCCTGTCCGGGTTAAAGTCTGAATTGTTAAGTTATTGATTAATGTGTGTGAACTACCTGTGAGGTGCCATCTACTGTGATCATCCCAAAGAAATACCTCAAAAGTGACCCCCAGCTCTCAAAGGGGAGAACCAAAAGTAGGCAACTTCTATTTCCAGAGGGTCCACTATGGGCCAGGAGCCAGTATAAGCACTTTACATGTGTCTGCACAACCACCTTTAGGGTCCAATCAAGAGGGTCAGGCACTTCCACACAAACAGAGCTGCAGGTCAAGGTAGCAGAAACACCACAGAGGAGAACCAGGCTCACACTGGGGGCATCCGCACTGGCTGGGACCTGGGAGGGGTGGGCGCCTTGGGGTGGGGGGTGGTGTCTCCACTGAGCTCCTCTGGGGAGGGCAGAAAAGACCAAGGCAGGGTGGGAGTGGGAGGGGATTCCAGGAAAGGGTAGAGAAGTGGGGATGTCTAGATTACGCTCAAGGGAGAGTCAGGGGCTCAGCTGGTGGGAAATAGCTGAAGGGAAAACCACAGTGATTGCTGAGGAAGACACGTGTCAGGGGTAGACGGTGGGCCTCCAGTGGTACCACGGCGGGACTGAAGGGCCTTCTGCTGGTGCTGAGGGAACCCCTCTTGGTTCCCTGACTTGGATGCGTCCCAGCTCCTCTTCAAACTCCAGCCTCTGTTTCCAGTTGAAACCCTCAGCCAGCCTGTCTCCCCACCACTCACTGTAGACACAGCGGTTTTGAATTGGGGCCGAACAAACCACTCACTCAGGCATCAAACCATAAGAGCGGAATCATTTCCTTCTTAGAAAGGCCTGGTGGTTCCCCTGATGGGCTGCGCTGCCTCGGGTCGAGCCTCAATCCTTGGAATTTGGTAGATTCCTGTTTTTACAGTCCACCTTGAGCTGTAGCTGCAGGTCAAGAGATGGTATGTGAGTTGGCTGGCCTCCTCCCAAACCACCTCCTAGTCATGCACAAGCCATGCTCCCAGATTCCCAGCTGGAAAACGTCACCAGCAACTTGCAGACTTCATGAGGGACACATCTGTTTCAGGAAGGGCAGAGGTTGACCAGTGTTCTGCACACAGCTCTCCCTGACCACCCAGGAACAGTGGTGCAGACTGCAGGGTGCAGCCCACCCCCGTGAGTCCCCAGGACCCAGGGCGCTGAAGACTGGTTTACAGGAGGGACAGTGCACCCTCCCCACGTGCAGCTGCTTGTGACTGCTGAACAGCCCAAGGACACAGAAGACAGAGGACCGAGGGTGTAAATATGAGGAGACCCAGGTTTGGGCAGATTCAAGTGGCCACTGAGGTTCATAAAAGTTACGGCTAAAACCGGTTCTTGAACCTGAGTATAATCAATCCTCTTCTCATTGATTACAGGGCAGATGCTGGGCTGAGGCCGCTGGAGGTGGCTCCTGCATCTTCCACTTGCTAGCAAGTCATGTACAACTCTTGGAAATTCGGATTCCTCATACTGACCGATGGATAATCATCATCCTGGCTTCCCAGAGTTGCTGTGGGATTAGAGCCGGCACTACTGCATTTGAGGACAGATAATCCTTTGGTGTGGGGCTGCCCTGTGCATTGTAGGTAATTGGCAGCCTCCCTGGCCTGGAACCTACTAGAACCAGCAGCATCGCCCTCCGTCCAGTTGTGACAGCAAAAACAAAAAAAACAAAAAAACTCTCTGGACATCATTCAATCGGAGGACCACATTAGCTGGCTTCATCAAAGCACCTGTCGTGTCCCTCTTTGTTTTGTGGTGCCCGCATCCCATTCCTGCCACAGAGCTGATCACGCCACTTCTCCTGGGCCCCAAGCTCGAAGGGTCTTAAAGTTTAGAGGCGCTGATTACTTTTCTTTTTTCATTTGTACAATCTTGGCAGGTTTATATTGACAACCTCACACAAAGGCCAGACATTTTTCCCCCCGAATATCGTGTACCTTGACATGAAAAAGCTAAAGCACTTCTTAGACTGCTCATTTTTAGGGTCTTTGTTTCCTCGCAAATGCAGTTTTAAGATTATATCATGAAAGAGGCTGGGGGAAGCTCAAGATGAAGTCTGATCACCAAAGTTTTTGACTTACTGAAGAAGAAACAAAGCAGTTTAAGCAGAAAGGAATCTGCCATAACTTCAAGTCAATAAGGTCACTGCTCATAGCAAAGAACTCGACAACAGAACTGCACACATATTGCACACAAACTGTGTGAAGACAAAGCGATGCTGTGGGAGAAACAGAGGGTCCCTTCTCTCCGGAAGGTAACATTTCACATCCTTGTAGACTGATTTTTACCGAACTGTGCTTTTTGAGCAACACACACAGCCCTGTGGGATCAGTCTGGACGTGTTTCAAACTCATCATTGATCTGCCTCAAAAATTGTCTAAATCTATTACCAGGGGGCTGCCCCAGAATTGTCCTCCTGCCCCTCCTTCAAATAGAAACCAATTACTCATATCTGAGTTTCAAGAGGAAGGTGCAAAGAGAGATGCTGGAGAATTCGACTTCAGTGGACCTCGAGCCTCATTATATGCTCATTGTAACGCACTAGCTGCTCAGTGACACACCCACCAGCGCCATGACAGCTGACGATCGCCATGACAACAGCCAGAGAAGCCCAGACAGGAACTGAAAAGAAGTGTTGTCTGGGTCCCAACCACATCCCTGTTCTCGGGTAACTCATGACTTTTCCTCCCACTCTTTCCAACTCCCTCCCTTTTACCCTGACCAGTCTATATATTTGGTATCTTCGCCCAAACTGGGTTGAGAAGTTGATATGCAAACTAGGTTCCCGCTTCTCCATTATTTGGCCACTAAAAGAAGCCTGCGTTGTTCCAGTCTCAGCATTGGTTTATTACTGGCTGCATGAATCCAACTGGAAAAGGAACCTCCCGGATTGGGACAGGGTGTCTCGGTCCAGGCTAGGATCGGACCAGTTCAGTTACACTTTTGCAACATACTCCTATTCTTGTAAGGTTGTGGGGGTATTTTTAATCAAAAGGATGGTTTGAGCTAATACGCCAGCACCGATGATGAGTTAGTGCCTGCCAACTGCTGCTGTTAGAACATAAGAGAGAGGTTCATGAACGTTCAAGGGGCCGCAAACCAAGAGAGCTCACGTGCATTGCAGGACGGCTCTGGTGTGGTCATCAAGATTGGATGGACTTGAGCAAGACGCTAAATTGCTCTGTGCTGGAGTCCTTGGCACTGCAAAGCTGACACCATAAGATGATCAAGGAACTGTCTGTAAGGAGTCAGTGAGCTAAACAGAGCACACAGAACAGTGCCTGGCACTTGAGCAGCATGGAGTAAATGCAGCTATTGCTTCGAGTACAGAAAGCTATTCCACAGGATTTCAATTGGTGTTGTCTAAAAAGAGTCCTGTGGTCAAATGTCTGGAAACGTTACTTTAAATAAAGAGAAGGTTTTTTTTGTTTTTTTTTTAAACTTACTGCAGGACTTTTCAGAGCCTTTAAAATGCCAATATGCAACATGAGTATCAATATGGCGACCAGCATGTACCATTTGCACCAGGACCCTTTCTGTATAAGGTGATTCAACACAATTTTAAGAGAACAATACATTTTTGATGACTCTGGGTAGAATGTTGTACAGAAGATCTCTACGGCTTATTTATCTTGCATAACTGAAGCTTTATGCCCTCTGATTAGTAATTGCCCATTTCCCTCTCCCGCTGTCCGTGTTGATTTTTGCATCACTTACCCGAGATCCCTTTTCCGGAAAGCACTGGCAAAGAGAGCAGTCTCTTCCCCCACAGGGACCAATAAACTTCTTTCCACCCTAGAAAGTGAAGCATCTGATTTAGTTTACCAGTATTCATCACCTCGCTGGGTACAAGATATAGATACCTCGTAACAAGCACTCTTGGTTTATTTAACTCATGAAAATTCCACAGTATCATTTTTACCTCTGAATCTGTGACAAGACTAGTACTGATATATAAAAAGCCATCGAACTTATTACCCTGTGGCTGGATAATAAGGAGATTAATGATTATGTGAGCAGGATAAAAGTTTTTCTGAGCTAGGATTTTTTACAAACCTTGTCTGAAGCTATCTGGCTTTAACCAGAATTTTCTGCAGTTTTTCTCTCCTGGTAAGATTTCATTTACTAAGTTGTGAACAAGCTTATAGTGTTACCTATGTAGTCGGGAAAACCATAAGTACACAGTGGCATCTAACTGAAAGCATATGCTTGCTTTTTTTCTAGGAGCCTCTTCATTTACCTCCAAGATCAATCAGGGACTCAAGAAGTCCCTCCCAGGTCAGTGCAGCAATCACAGCCTTGGCCTCGGATTAAAATCGTTCTTTCAACAATTTGCTGTTACTCCAAGATGGTGCCTCTAATGTGACGCTCAACCAGAAAGCTCCTGAGCTTGAATCATTTGAACACTTTCCCTACTTTCAGCTGAGGGTGTGGGTAGGACCTCACGCTTCTGACAGATCTTTGAAAACTAACAACTTAAACTTGAGCCTTTAGACCAACATGTAATGGGAAAACATAAAGCAGGAGAACAGATCTGTGCAGTTCCCAAGAAGATATATACAAATAAATAAACAAACACACTTATACACAAATATGCATGAATATGTATATGTGTATGGGAGGGACAAGAGTCTAGGCAGTATGTATTTTTCTTTTCAATCATACAATTAAGACTCCGCTTTTTTCTGGAAAAAAATACACTCAGACAGAATTTTTAAAATCTTTAAGCATTCATGAAAAAGATGTCTTTATAAATATAACTTTTATGAGCCATTGAAAGCATATAAAAATTTGAACCTTGACAAGAGCCAAGCAATTAGATAATTAAGTTAAAAAATGTATTTGAAGTTTCAGTTCTTGAGTTTGGAGTAACATTGTTATCTATGAATGCAGAAACATTAAGTTCAAGACCCTGATAAGGTAAAAAAAAAAAAATTAAATGCTCCAGGCCAGGTCAGGAAAGCATGAAAGTACTTAAAATAACTAGTCTGAACATTTGAGTTCATTTAAGGTTGGGATTCATTACTATGTGTTCAGTGAAATATCAAAACAACCAGAGAAAAAAAGGTCAGTTGATTAGATGGCTTGGTAATATGGGCAAGTGTGTTGTTGTTTTGTACTTAATTGTGCCAAGCGTCACTAAGATGTTTGTAGCAAAATTACATTTCAGAAAAGAATCAGTTTAAAATTAGCAGACTCTAATAAAGAAACAGGAATAGTCACATATAAAGCTTTCACTTGGATGAATAAAAGAAAAAAGGCAGAGGTGATTTTAGTCTCTACAAAGTTCTACATCACACGTATCCTAATAAACATCACTTTAAAGAGGGGAGACCTTTACAGAGGAAGCAACTGCACCTCAGAAACAGACTGTATCATCCCATTAAAAAGAGGTAAAGACAATGTCTCAGATAAGTCAACATTCAAAATATAAACCATATTCACTGGGCATACACCGGCATTCTCAAAAACCAATGCTAACCTTCTTCAAAGGGAGAAAAAGAAAAGTCACTATCTGTTTTATCTCAGATATTTTTAAACAAGTATTTGTTGCATAGAAAGTTCAAGAAAATATTTTACTGATTTCTAGATTAATAGCGTGTCCTGCATTGGTACTTTTATTATCTTTTTTGAAAAACAACATATGCACATAGTAACAATTCAAACAGCACAAAATAGTGTAGTGGAAACAGACATTTTCTCTTCCAAC